ATTACTGAAAAATACATACGTACATATGTATGTATATATATGTAAAAGACTATAGATGCTCGTCTATACTATTTATTAAAGATAATTTTATAAATAAATAAAAGAACCTGTAAAGCCGCCCTGCTATACTATTTTTAAAAAGAATTATAAAAATCGAGTATAGCCGATCGGCTGTACTCTTTACTAGAAAAAAATAGCAGCCCACGTGTAAAATGGTATGGCCACACGGCCGTACTCTTTACTAAGGAAAAAAATAGCAGCTCAGGTGTAAAATAGTATAGCCGTGCAGCTATACTGTTTAAAAAATATTAAAAAACTGAGTATAGCAGCACGGCTAAACTATTTTAAAATATAAAAAAGGACGACCCCAACGATTAGGCACCACGTGTCAACACAAGTCTATTTTTTTAAAAAAAATATTAAAAACACGAAGTATAGCCGTTCGATGGTACTATGTTTTTCAAAAAAAGAAGACCCTCTTGTGATTAGGTGCCACCCGTCCAAAACACGTATTGCCGTCCGGCATTATTATAAAAAAAAGGTAGTATAGCCGCACGGCTATACGGTTTAAATACATTATATTTAAACGTTATAGCCGCACGGCTATACTATTTAATAAATAATGATAAAAAAAAAGAAAAAAGGACCCTCCTAGTTGCATTAGTTTGTACTTTATAGATACTAGCCTCTCTGCATGCGCTTCCGCGCCTGCGAGAGGCTTTTTCTTTTAAAATTTAAATTTATTTTAGAATTAAAAAAGAAAATGGGTAGTTGTGTTCCATAAAAATAGGATTCATTATCTGATTTTTCTTTTAGTTTTAATTTTTTTTAATATGAAAAGTGTGAATTTACCATATTATCCTCATTTAATTAATAATTTCAATTCTTAATGTTTGCATTAACCAATGGCATTTTATGGTATTTTGAATATTTCACCATTATCTGCCTTTTGCTTTATATATATAGATTAATTTGCTAATTTCAACATATCCAATGTAGATATTAATCTTCCACTATATATTTTTTTTATAACTACATATGTTATTCTTATTCAATAATATGTGGGTCTATACTATTTATTAAAGATAATTTTATAAATAAATAAAAGAACCTGTAAAGCTGCCCTGCTATACTATTTTTAAAAAGAATTATAAAAATCGAGTATAGCCGATCGGCTGTACTATTTACTAGAAAAAAAAAAGCAGCCCACGTGTAAAATAGTATAGCCGCATGGCCGTACTCTTTACTAAGGAAAAAAATAGCAGCTCAAGTGTAAAATAGTATCACCGTGCGGCTATACTGTTTAAAAAATATTTAAAAACTGAGTATAGCAGCACGGCTAAACTATTTTAAAATATAAAAAAGGAGGACCCCAACAATTAGGCGCCACATGTCAACACAAGTCTATTTTTAAAAAAAATATTAAAAACACGAAGTATAGCCGTTCGGCGGTACTATTTTTTCAAAAAAAGATGACCCTCTTGTGAATAGGTGCCACCTGTGCAAAACACGTATAGCCGTCTGGCATTATTATAAAAAGAAGGTAGTATAGCCGCACGGCTATACGGTTTAAATACATTATTTAAACGTTATAGCCGCACGGCTATACTATTTAATAAATAATGATAAAAAAAGAAAAAAGGACCCTCCTAGTTGCATTAGTTTGTACTTTATAGATATTAATTTGCTAGTTTCAACATATCCAATGTAGATATTAATCTTCCACTATATATATATATATTTTTTATAACATAAGTTATTCTTATTCAATAATATGTGGGAATTATTTGTATAATGTGTGAATTTTGCGTGTCTTACTGAAAATTTTTGTAAAAAAATACATGTATTGATCCTTAGAAATACGTCCGTACATGTACAATACAACTATTGTACGTTTGCCTTTTAAAAAAGGTGAGACGTGTATAGAACACAAATGTATTATTGAAAGATACGTACGTACCCACAAGCCACCCAAGACCCATCTTTTGATTAATTAATTAAATATATTAATAAACCATTGACCCAACTAAATAGGCATTTAACCATATAGGCCATACCCACAAGCCACTCAATTGGGCCACTTGCATAGCCAATACAAACTATTCTTTCCAAGAGTAAGTCTTATAAAGACTTCCAGGGAACTCTAGTGTTCCAATGTGGGAACTCAAACATGTTTGCCATGCCTTGCAAAACCAACAAAACTAAATTATGTTACTGCACGCATTATTTGTCATAGAGAATTGCATGCTAAGTTGGAGTGTTCTTGGTAATTGCTTCACTCTTCAAACAACACTTTCCTCAATTTATTCTAGAAGATGAGATTTCACGTTTACATGGTGCTGACTGCAACATAGTATGCAACACAACCTCGTCGTATTTCTGCTGTGTCTGTTGCAGCTCGTATATCCTCTGAAAGGGAAGAGAATCTTGGTGAAAACTGTTGGTTATCAGATCCGCCTGGAATCAAAACTTTCTTGTTGACAAATGTATAATCATCTTCCTTTTAATAAACTTGTATAATTGGGATTTTCAAATTATATGTTGTTTTAAATGCATTCTTGTTGACAAATGACAGGATTAACTTTCCCTGTGGAAGAATTTTTTCTAGAAGACATTCTAGAGAGAACTCGTTATATTGTCAAGTCAGAGTTTGAAGGAGAAGAAGGAGACAGTAAGATTCCAAGAAGGATCCTTTAATTTGAGGCATTCCAGCAGTCCCTATCATTCTAAATATCATTTTCATTCCCATTGAAATCTACCTCTTATATTGCATAACATAGACTTATAATCAATGAATACATAAGGCTTTTAAACTTTAGCTTCAGCAGTTCCAACATTAATAATTTTTTGAAGTATTTATGAGGATAGTGCTTTGGCCATGCAGGACGTTGATATTGATTCAAGAAGGTCTCTCGAAGCGTGGTCTGGTTCACAGCTTTACTTGGGTCTGGTAAAGAACTTGCTTTATTACTAGCATGGTAAAGAAATTACAGCACATCTACAAGAAATTACAGCTATCTTTGCACACTAAGGCTTTTAAACTTGAGCTTCAGCAGTTCCAACATTAATAATTTTTTGAAGTATTTATGAGGATAGTGCTTTGGCCATGCAGGACGTTGATATTGATTCAAGAAGGTCTCTCGAAGCGTGGTCTTGTTCACAGCTTTACTTGGGTCTGGTAAAGAACTTGCTTTATCACTAGCATGGTAAAGAAATTACAGCACATCTACAAGAAATTACAGCTATCTTTGCACACTACCTGTTTGGATGTAAAATACTCAATAGGACATCAAAGTAATTTAATAATCAAAATTAAATTCAATATGGCCAATTGTCATTTTTTGGGTTTTTTTTGGGTTTGTTTATAGAAATTAAATGGTGTAGGGTTTATTTATAGTTTTAGTGCTAAGAATGGGTATTTGACTAAATATCTCTTTTTTTTATAATGTTTCCGTTGACATGGTTTAAAATGACGTTTAGTTTAACAAACGTCTAGTAAAAATAGGAAGTAAACAATAAACAATTGTTAATAACTATTTTCATTTTAAATCTAAACTACTCTTAATATTGGATTTAGTCAATCATTACCTTAATGTGTTGTTATTATACCCTTTTTTTATATACTTAAATAATTATTAACTTTTAATGTTGTGCAATTTTTTATGGGTTCGGATCCTCTCTGCTAGGATGCTCTTCTTTTATTATTTACATGTTTGAGCTTAATTGAGTCCTTATTATTCCAAAAATGGATTTTAGCCTCCAAACCCTAAATCCAAGTCAAACGTGAATCAATAATACCAACTACTTTTTGGAGTTTGAAGGAAATACATGAACTTGAGTCACACATTGGAAAAGAAAAGAAAGTCTCTACTCCTTATAAGTAGGAGTCTTCCCACACATGCTATATGGAGGGTGTATTCAATTGAGATTTTAATGGATTGTTTTGAAGCTTAAAAGTACAGCGGTATTCAATTAGGATTTTTAAGTAATCAATAAAAGTCTGATGGTATTCAATTAGTATTTTTAAATAATCCATACAAATCCGGTGGTATTCAATTATGACTTTTAAAAGATAAGAAAAAGTACTGTAGTATTAAAAAAACTTACTGATTTTAATGTATTTCATTAAATGGTGTATTGTGTGAGACTTTTGATTGTGTGATATACATACCAAATCACACCCTCCTACTGATTTTAACAAACTTACTAGTACTAATGCGCTGCAGAATAAGAGATTATGAGAAGGATGAGGCATGCAACTTTTAAGGGTGGTGGTGAGCATACACCTTTGGTTAATGTGGTGAGCAAAAATACTCCCATAAAAATATAAAGTAAAATCCTGTAATTGCAATATGTTAAAATCTCAATTGAATACAGCCCTATAAGTGGAGTGGAACTTGGGGCTCACCTTTTGATTGGGCTTTGATTATATATACATAATAATTAATATTTAATAATCGTAGACTCGGATTTGGGTTAGTCCATTTTTGGAATAATAAAATATATTCAGAAATTAAAAATAATTTCTTAGCCTTGTTTTAATTACTTTAATCCTAACCGGAAATAAGTCACTCATTTCTAACACATTCATACTTAATAAATTTTCACTAAATTATCATGAATGATGTAACTTGTACAAATTTGTTTCATTTTCCAATTCAGTTTGATCTGTTCGTTTCTAGCTATTTACTCAATCACAATTTTTTTTTCTGGAACTGAGGGAAAATTAGTTAATTAGGAGTTGCAGAAACTAATCAATTGCATCCCAAATCGAAGCTTAAAATTTGATTTACTAGGCCTAAAGGTACTTGTTAAAGCCCATTTGGCTAGTTTCTTTTTGTTTATTTGTCGTTTTGGGCTTTTGGCCCCAATCCCACCCAAAAATTAAAAGAATTAAAATCAAGTATTCAAGAACTCCGTCTCCTAATTCAAATAGGGTTACGAGAAAAAAAAAACCGCAATACAAAACGATAAAAAGTCGTAAAACCCCTTCCCTTTCCTCCCTATTTTCTGGTTAATTCATTTTTTTTTGTCAGACCTATTTTCTCTCTCTCTGTCAGGTTGGTGACACTCTGACAAGCCTGAAAAACCCCCCCTTCTTAGCAAAGAAAGAAACTTGAAAAACCCCTTAAAGCGTTTACCTTAGTTCCAGAGAACCTCCAAAACCCTAGAATTCAAATCGACGAGACCGAAGTCCATGTTTTCTTGGCGACGCCGATTTTAGCACCAGAAATTCACAGAATGGGTCGGCCCGAGCCTTGTGTATTGTTCGCCCAAACCTTCGTTCACCCCCATCTCGACGAATACGTCGACGAGGTTACTCTCTCACAAATTTTCAACTTTCAGTTGCTTTTGCGGTTAATTTAATGCCTGTGTTCTAATTAATTTACGAATTTTGATTTATTAGTAAATCTTACTTTGTATGAATTGCTAAATTTATAGTTGAATGTTACTCATTCGAAGTGGATTTTCGTTGCTAGGTATTGTTTGCTGAGCCCATCGTCATCACTGCTTGCGAGTTTCTTGAACAGAACGTGTCGTTTGCTTCTCAAACAGTAACACTTCTTGGGTAAGTGGCATTACTAATTTTGCAATTGTTTCAGCTTTCCTTTACTTTTGTTTGTGAATTTTAGAATATTATGATAAAGATCATGTAGCTTAGGCCTGAACATCACCATGCAGGCCATTATATTCGGCATTCACTTAAGCCTGTTATAAATATCACATTTTTAGCTCCATCTGGTTAGTTTCATTTAGGAGTGGTAAATACCACAGCCGGGTCAGTTGGTGAATTATTCTTGAGGCTTCTATCCGATTTTTTGTTAAAGACAAAATTGGCACAATTCTAATGAATACATGGCATGGTGGTTATTTATGTTTTACACTGTTAATATACATGGTGCATTATGTATCCTGGTCGTTGATATCACTTACAGTTGTTTTTTAGGGTTTGTGTTTTATGTGAAGTAGTGAAGTTTTCATAGATAAGTGTCATGTCGGTTAAAAGGTAGAAATTCCACAAGGCTTACATTAGTGCAGTTACAATTATACTTTATTTTATAAGGTCAGGTTAAAACTTCCAAATCGCATTTCAATTGGTTGGTTGACGAACTGTGTTTACCCTTTTTCAACCCAACCCAATTGATTTGGAACACTACAATACGGAGTAAAGTACAACTACAAGTGCTTGTTTGAAAAATACTCATGGGAGAGTCAACACTTATGGTAATGTTGACTGCAGGATGCCTAATATATGTCTTTCACTCTCATGGTGTATTATGTGCAAACTAGGAGCAGAGGATTTTGGCCATTTATTTCGCCATTGCTTGTTTGCATTTAGATTGTGGCACAG